CCCATGCATCCCCCCACCATGCATCCCCCCATGCACCCACCCCATGCACCCCCCCCAATCCATCCACCCCCCCATGCATTCCCCCCATTGCATCCCCCCCGTGCGCCCCCCATGAATCCCCCCCCATGCATCACCCACCCATGCCCCCCCCTCATGCATCCCCCTCTTGCACCCCCCCATGAATCTCCCCCCATGCACCACTCCCCATGCATCCCCCCACATGCATCCCCCTAATGCAAATTCCTCCCATGCATCCCCCCCATGCATTCCCCCCCATCCATTCCCCCCCATGCATTCCCTCCCCAATGCATCCCCCTGCTTGCATCCCCCCCACGCATCCCGCTCCATGCACCCCCCCCCCCCCCTATGCAGCCTTCCCCTTGCAGCCCCCCACATGCATCCCCCCCTACGCACTCCCCCCATGCATCCCACTGCATGCATCCCCCTGGATGCATCCACCCCCATGCATCCACCCATGCATCTCCCCCCATGCATCCCATGCACCCATCCCCCCATGCATCCCCCCACATGCATTACCCCGCATGCATCCCTCCCCATGCATCCCCCCCCATGCATCCCCCCTCCATGCATCCCCCACCCATGCATCCCCCTCATGCATCCCCCACCCATGCATCCCCCCCCATGCATCTCCCCCCGATGCAAACCCCCATGCATTCCCCGCATACATTCCCCCCCATGTATTCCCCCCCCCCCTGGACACCTCACCCATGCATCCCCCCCATGCATTCCCCCCCCCATCCATTCCCCCCCATGCATTCCCTCCCAATGCATCCCCCTGCTTGCATCCCCCCCCACGCATCCCGCTCCATGCACCCCCCCCCCCCCCCTATGCAGCCTTCCCCTTGCAGCCCCCCACATGCATCCCCCCCTACGCACTCCCCCCATGCATCCCACTGCATGCATCCCCCTGGATGCATCCACCCCCCATGCATCCCACCCCATGCATCTCCCCCCATGCATCCCATGCACCCATCCCCCCCATGCATCCCCCCACATGCATTACCCCGCATGCATCCCTCCCCATGCATCCCCCCCATGCATCCCTCCCCATGCATCCCCCCCCATGCATCCCCCTCCATGCATCCCCCACCCATGCATCCCCCTCATGCATCCCCCACCCATGCATCCCCCCCATGCATCTCCCCCGATGCAAACCCCCCATGCATTCCCCGCATACATTCCCCCCATGTATTCCCCCCCCCCCTGGACACCTCACCCATGCATCCCCCCCTGCATCCCCCCCTGCACCCCCCCCCCATGCATCCCCCCCAATGCATCACCCCCCTTGCATCCCCCCCCATGCATCCCCCCCCAATGCATTCCCCCCCATGCATCTCCTCCCATGCACACCCCCCATGCATCCCCGCCATGCATGCCCCCCAATGCATCCCCACTCATGCATCCCCACCCATGCATCTCGCCCCATGCATCTCCTCCATGCATCCCCCCCCTGCATCCCTCCCCCTGCATCCCCCCCAATGCATCCCCCCCATGCATCCACCCCATGCATCCACCCCCATGCTCCCCCCCCCATGCACCCCCCCAATGCAACCCCCTCCATGCACCCCCCACAAGCACCCCACCCCCTCAATGCATCCCCCCCATGCATCCCCCCCCCATGCACTTCACCGAATGCACCCCCCAATGCGAACCCCCCCCAATGCATCCCCCCCCAAGCATCCCCCCCATGCATCCCCCACATGCATCCCTCCCCATGCATCCCCCCCCATGCATTCCCGCCCATGCATCTGTTAGAATATAACATTCTCTTTCTCTTCATCTTTAGGCATATATAACCAAGTTGGGTTATCTAGGGGTGTCGATGAAAGTTGGGGTTGGATATTCAACCAACCCTTGACCCCAACTATCGAGGTGATCAGTCTTCTTGGTCTTCCACCAACATTATTGGCTCCTCAATTGTTGGTGGTCCAACCTTCCCAACCATCACCGGTCCAACCAATAATGGTTGGGTTGGTCAAACCCCCCCTTGACCTAGGATTGGCTCCCTAGGTATATAACCCTGTATCACCCCCTCTATAGTTAGTTTTTCGCTCAACCGATTTCTAACAGCACCCCCCCCATGCACCCACCCACTGCCATGCATCCACCCCTGTGCACGCAACCCCACGCATCCACCCCGTGCATTCCCCTCCCCATGCATCCACCCTCATGCACCCATGCACCCACCCCCCCCATGCACCCAACCCCATGCATCCACCCCCATGCGCCCCCTCCCCCCCCCCCCATGCACCCCCCCCACCCCCCCCCTGCACATGCACCCGCCCCCCCATGCACCCACCCCCATACATCCACTCCCATGCACCCACCACCATGCATCCCCCCCCATGAACCTACCCCCATGCACCCACCATTATGCATCCCCCCTCATGCATCCCCCCCCATGCATTCCCCTCCCCCTTCATGCATCCCCCTTGTGCATCCCCACCCATGCACCCCGCTATGCATCCCCCCTGATACATCCCCCCCTATACATTCCCCCCATGCACCCGCCACCAGTTGAAGCCCTCTTCCCTTAAAACTCCACCTCGTCCCAATGCCCACCCTTCACACCCTTTCCACCCATGCCACAATTCCCCTCTCTTAGCTTGGATCTGCCTCGCACATGTCGCTGCCTCACCTCAGTCTGCTGTGACTTCTTCTTTATTCGGATCTTGTCAGTAGGAGGGTCTGGTGTGAGAGGACAGTCAGGAGAGCCTTTGTCGCACAGCTCCACTGCGAGCTTCGACTTGAGCAGCTGAGGGGGATAGGGGACGGGATCAAGGAGACGGGGGGTGATTAGATAGTGCTTGCTTGGAGTGAGGCAGTCGGGGGAGCCTTCGCTGCACAGCTCCACTGATAGCTTCGACTTGAGCAGCTGAAGGGGCGAAAAGGGGGCGGGTGAGGAAAAGGGGAGAAGTCAAGAGGACAGGAGGGTGGTCAGAAGGGGTGTGGCGTGAGAGGGCAGCCGGGGGAGCCCTCACCACATAGCTCGACCGAGAACTTCGACTTGAGCAGCTGAGGGGAAGAGGGCCGGGATGGAGAGCAGTCGGGAAGGGAAGTGGTCAGATGGTTTCTGGGGGTTCTGGAGGAGTGGTGGAGTGGTGTTTTTGTGGCTTCTGCGCTGCTCGCAGGTTGTTAAGGAAGGAATGAGTGCTCTCATTTATTCGGCACAGCAGGGCCAAACTCGTCCTCTTTCAGGTGCGGGCTGCTGCTGCTGCTACCGCTGCGGTGTGTGCTGTGAGCTGTGTGGTGCGTAGGCTTACTGCTTGTGGTGTGCGACGCGGGTTGTCAAGGAAGGAGTACTCTCATATCGGCACGGCAGGGCTGAACTCGTCCTCCTTGAGCTTCCCCAGCAGCATTCGTAGCACCTCCACCAGGTGGTAAAAGGACGACAGGAAACAGGAACGGGTTGGCGCTGCTGATGTGTGTGTGCTGTGAGCTGTGTGTGCGCATGGACTTGAGCAGCATTCGCTGCACCTCCACCAGGTGGTCCAGGGGGAGGGGGGAGAGGAACGACAGAACCCTCACATACCAACAGTACTTACCACCTGTGGAGTTGTCGGGTTGTCAAGGAACGAATGCTGGTGGAGGTGCAACGTACGTCCCACAGGCTACTCACCGCCTGGGGTGTCCGCGGGTTGTCAAAGAAGGAGTACTCCCGAATGGGCACAGCAGGGCCAAACTCGTCCTCCTTGAGCTTCCCCGGCAGCATGCGCTGCACGTCCACCAGGTGGTCCAGGGGCGACAGGAACGGCTGTGGTGTGTCGGTGCCTTCTACAATCCCTAGGTGTGGGAACCAGAGTCGGTCAAACCGGACCCACGTGGCTGGGAGGACCTGAGAAGAAAGGCAGGGCGAAGGATTTGTGGGGAGAGGAAGGCAGCAGATGAGTCGGCTGTATCTGCAGCAGGGCAAAGGAAAGCGGTTGCGAGGACAGCAAGGTTCGCTGCACCTCCATGTGGTCAACTAGATTCGGTGAAAGCACACCTATGTGGCGGGTAGTACCTGTGGTGAAAGGCAGGGCGAAATTGAAAGGCGGAGTTGGAACGGAAAGGAAGCGGCTGAACCCTCTTCACCTCCAGAAGGGCAAACGCGTTGCTGGGATGGGAAGGCTCACTCACTGCACCTCCACTCCAATGCTCCACCCGTTGGTCCAGGGGGGAGAAATGAGGCAGCTATTTTGTAAGGCGCCCCTGAAGTAGCCTCCAGCAGGGCAAAGGCTTTGCTGGGATGAAAAGCTCACTTCATCCTCCACAGAGTCGACAACAGGGCCGACAATGAGGCATCTACTTTTTAGGAGCCTGTTAAAACAGTCAGACTAGAGGCTAAGAGGCAGAGGGGGTAGACTAACCAGAGTTCGGTTGAGTATGGTTGCAATGGCGAGAGCTGATCTGAGATTGGTTAGCTGCAAGACGGGAGCACGGAGAGGCACAGAGAAGCAGGGGAGAAGCACAGAGAGGCACAGAGGGGAATTGTAAAAAACAATTCCAAATCGTTGACAAGGTTGAAATGGGTCTGCAGGGAGTGATCCCCCGCAGTCAGCAGCAGCTGGGGCTTGACCCGACAGCAAGGTTAAAAAAAAGGGCGTTTTTTCCATTCTTAGACCGTTTGCTACGGTAAAGTATTTTTCGGCCGTATTAAACGGTTTAAAACGGTTCTGAAAGTTAGCTTTTCTTTGGTTGAAAAAAGCGGTCGTTATATACGGTCGAAATTTTTAAACCGTGGGTGTACTGTACTGCAGCAATTCGAATCTTGATACCGAATGTTCAGTCAACACATTCTCGAAGCGCGAAATTTCGCGCGTCCCGAGGAGCGCATTTTGGAATTCTCACCAGACCCGTTGCGAAACCAAAGTCGGTTTCGCAACGGGCCGGCGATTTCGATCGCGCCCAATAGCGGGCTGTCGCGAATCGCGCAACTCACGCAACCGAGTCGCATTTCGAAATCGCAATTTCACCCCTCCCAGCCCGCTCTTGCAACCCTAACCCAACTAAACCTTACGTGCTAGAGATACAAATTACAGAGCAGCAACAGAGAGCATTCATTAGCAAGGTTTAAAAAAACGTCGTTTTTTTAAGAAAATCACCGTATTATACGATATCGTATTTTTCGGCCGTTAAATACGATAAAAAACGATTCGGAATGTTACATTTTCATTGGTGGAAAAAAACGGTCATGTTTAATCGACCGATTTTTTTGAAGGTAATGGAGTTTGCAAAACGAACAAATTTGTTACACATTTCTGCGGTTGGGTGTACACCCAACCGCAGAAATGTGTTCAGTCAACACATTCCCAAAGCGCGGCCTCGACATTTTTCCGAGGCGCGCATTTCGGACGGTTCACCAAATCTGTTGCGAAATTGTCGTCCGTTTCGCAACGGGCTGGTTTATTTTTTCGCGCCCAGTAGCATGCGTTCGCGCAAAACGGAACGCATGCTACCGAGGCGCATTTCGAAATTGGAGCAGCATCCAATTTCATCCCTTCCACCTCGCTCATGCACAGAGATCCCAACCCAATCACTCACAGCACAAACTACAAATCCAGAGCTAAAAAACAGAGCCAAATTCAACAGAGATACCTTAAGAGTGAAGCACCTAAACTGACGCCCAAGCTAGCTGGGGCAATTTTAGGCCGCCCAATCCAGTCCGTCACCTGCGCGCATTTCATCGCCCGTCTACGTCGATTCTAGATAGCATACTTTCGCAATGCCGCGCACCCCGTCGGCTTTGTGGGCGCACGTGACCCGCACCCAAGATGACCACGGCAAGGTCATCCGGACGGAGTGCAACTACTGCAGCATCAACATTACTGGTAGCGCGACTCGCATTCAGGAGCACTTGTAAGGCACCCCCGCTTTCAAGTTCAAGAATGTGGCGGAGTGCAAGAGCGAGTTCGCTAAGAACCTCCGCACCAAGGGTCTCACCCCAACTACCACCGCCTCCAACATCCACGGTTCCACATCCGCGGTTCCAGCTCTGGCCGTCAAGCGCAGCCGAAATCGGGACATCCGAGGGATGGTCGACAAGGCCGGTCGTGACGCATTGGATCTCCTTTGGGCCACCGCTGTCGTCGAAAACGATTGGGCCTTCCGCGTTTCACAGTAAGCATGGCCCGAGATTTTCTCATGCACGTGCATCTTACCACTTCCTTTCTGAACTTGTCGCGCTTGCTTGGCATGCTCTGCCCAGTGCTCCGACTAATTACCGCTTCCACCCCACCCCCCTCACCTAGGTCACCCGCCTTGCAATTGTTCGTCGAGGGGGTGGTCGCTTACGGGAACCGTACACGCTCCCGAGTGCGTACAAGGTCTCCCACCCGCTCCTCGACAAGCTCAAGGCCGACACGGATGCCCTCATGACGCCGATCCGGGACTCGTGGGCCACGACCGGGTGCTCTCTATCCGTGGATGGGTGGTCGGACATGAAGAACCGCGGCCTTGTTTGCATCATCGCCATGAATGGCACGGCGCCCGTTGTCGTTGCCGTGGTGGACACCAAGACGCACAAGAAGACGAGCGCCTACCTTCCATCGCTGATCCGCCCGGCACTTGTGGAGGTGGGAGATAACCGCGTTGTCCAAGTGGTGATGGACAATGCGAGTAACAACAAAAAGGCGGCCGGCGAGCTCCGCGATGGGTACCCCTCCGTGTTTTTTACGAACTGCGCCGCACATTGCTTGGATTTGATGCTTCAAGATCTCGGGTCAATTGGGGTGGTGAAGAAGGTCTTGCTTCAAGCTCACCGGGTGGTGATGCTTGTTAAGAACAGCTCTTCCGCTGTGAATCTCTTCCGAGAGGTTTACAGCGAGCTTGAGCTCGTTAGACCGGGAACCACCAGATTCGGCACCCAAGTGATCATGGTGGGCCGGTTCTTGGAGGTAAAGAGGCAAATGCGAAACATGGTCATAAGTGAAGAGTGGGGGGAGGTGCCGGCTGCTAAAACAGAGGAGGGGCGCCGAATCCGCCGCCTCCTCCTCGACGATGCTTTTTGGGGCTCGGTGGAGGTGGTGTTGAAGCTCATGACGCCGGTGTACGAAGTGCTCCGAGCGGTGGACACACGTGCTCACCTCATGGGCCGGATCTACGGGTTGATGCTTGACGCCACGATGAAGACCAGCGAGGCGGCCGAGCGGGCTGGTATGTTCCCCACCCATGCTCCACATGCACCATGCGTGTCTTTGATTTTTTGCTTGTGTACACGTCCCACACCCTCCACACCATACCCCACACTAACTTGTGACGTACAACTTGTCTTGGTCCTGCGTGTGCAGCCACATATTTCGTGAAGAAGGCCGGGCTGCTCATGGCCAAGGACAAGGCGTCCTTCTTGGCCAAGGTGCGTCGGATTATCGCTCACCGTTGGGATGGCCAGCTGCATAACCCTCTTCACGCGGCTGGTTGGCTCCTCAACCTGGTCAACCGTTTTGCCGAAGAGGTTCGGGGTGATTCCGAGATCTTGAACGGAATGGATGAGGTGTTGAAGGCGCATGCGGCGGACACTCAAGGTCGCACTCTCCTTCGAGCCCAACTCGCCCATTACCATAGTGGGAATGGGAGTTTGGGAGGCAAAGAGGCACGGTGGGCCGCCACCAATTTGGTGGAGAGTGGGAGGCTCTCTAAGGCGGAGTGGTGGTCCACCTTCGGGGGGGAGGTGAGGGCGCTTCAAGAGATGGCCGTCAAGATCCTCTCCCAGCCCTGCACGTCGAGCGAGGTGGAGCGCGCATGGTCCGCCTTCAACCGGGTGCAGCGACGTGATCGCAACCGGCTGAGTTCCAACACCATGATCGACGTCACGGTGGTGGCGTTCAGCCGGCGATCACGGGCCGCCTTCGATTGGAAACAGGCAGCCCGTGAGCGCCTCACGCCGACCTCGGGTCTAGCGTGTTGGGGAAAGGGAGTGTCCCTCCTTCCCTCACCGCTTCCTCTCAAGCGATGGGCGGGGAGGGGGAAGAGGAGGAGGAGGTGCAGGAGGAGGAGCGTGCTGGAGCGTGCACCATCGATTGGGCCACCTTTGGAAACATCGGTGCGCCCAAGAAGCGTAAGATGAAGGGGAAGAAGGGGCAGGGAGGGAAGAAGGTGTGCGGGGCAAAGAAGGGTGCTGGAAAACGCGGCAAAGAGGTAGAGGAGGAGCCCGCCAACAGCACGCGCGATGGCGGCAGCGAGGGGGAGGAGGAGGATGGCCTTGGGCCATGGGATTTCGTCATGGGAGGGGGTGAGGGTAAGGAGAGGGGGGAGGGGCAGGGGGAGGGGGGAGGACACGAAGATCCCGAGGAGGAGCAGGAGCAGGAGGAGGAGGAGGAGGAGGGGGAGGGGGAGGGGGAGGGGGAGGGGGAGGGGGAGGAGGAGGAGGAGGAGGAGGAGGAGGAGGAGGAGGAGGAGGAGGAGGAGAGGAGGAGGAGGAGGAGGAGGAGGAGGAGGAGGAGAGGAGGAGGAGGAGGAGGAGGAGGAGGAGGAGGAGGAGGAGGAGGAGGAGGAGGAGGAGGAGGAGGAGGAGGAGGAGGAGGAGGAGGAGGAGGAGGGAGGAGGAGGAGGAGGAGGAGGAGGAGGAGGAGGAGGAGCAGGAGGAGCAGTAGGAGGTAGGTAGGAGGAGTAAGTAAGAGGGAATAGGTGGAGTTTTTCTCTGTATTTTACACACCCACCTTGCGTGCACCGTAGCCACCAGCAGCGTAGTTGTGTGCTTTTTTTTCGCCGAGAAAAAAAAAAAAAAAAAAAAAAAAAAAAAAAAAGGCCTAATAAAAAAACGTCGTTTTTTTCAGAAAATCACTATATTATACCATAAAAAAAAAGATCGAAAAAAACGGCCTGCCGTTTTTTTCAACCTTGTTCATTAGTCTAGCATTCTAGAATTAGTAGCATAACTCCGCCCACCCAGCATGGCTGAACTACATCACACCGATTCCAGCACGTATTTCAGGCGCGATCTAGCGCACAACAGCCTCGCGAAACGTAGGCGCCTTATCGCCATGCCCCGTGCTCCATCCCCTTTGTGGGCGCATGTGAAGCGTACTCGGGATGACGATGGCAAGGTCATATGGTCGGAATGCTTGCACTGGAGTTTGACCATTTCAGGACGTGCGACGCGCATCCAAGAGCACCTTTACGACACCCCTGCGTCTAAGTTCAAGAATCTTGCGGAGTGCAAATCCGACTTTGCAAGGAACCTCCGCACAAGGGGAGCCTTGTCTTCTACTACGACGGCGACAAACCGTGGGTCGGCGACGGCGGTTGCTGCACCAGCAGGGAAGCACCGCCGAACTCGCGACATTCGCGGCATGGTGGACAAGGCCGGGCGGGACGCCCTCGATCTCCTTTGGGCGACGGCCATCGTGGAGAACGATTGGGTGTTCCGTGTTTCCCGGTAAGTGCACTGTTTCCATCCATCCCACCCCTTTTTCCAGCCTTGTAGACGCTCTCCCGCCGCACTCCCGCCCTCCCCCTCCCCCCCTCCCCCTTTTTCTTACCTCTTGCCACGCCATGAGAGGGACCATACCATGACGCCTAAAATTCCAGCCCTCTCCCTTTCGGAACCCCACCACTAGGTCGCCCGCTGTCCAAACGTTCGTGGAGGGGGTGATCACATATGGCAAGCCCTACCAACTGCCAAGTGATACAAGTTTACCCATCCCCTCCTCGACAAGCTCAAGACGGAGACCGAGGCGCTTATGCGACCCATCAAAGAGTCTTGGTCCTCGACCGGCGTATCTCTGTCTATGGACGGATGGACCGACCTCAAGAGTCGCGGTCTTGTGTGCATCATCGGCATAAACGACACGGCGCCGGTAGTGGTCGACGTGGTCGATACGAAGACCCATAAGAAGACCGGCGCCTACCTTGCATCGCTTATTTGGGGTGCGATTTGCAAGGTAGGACATACTCACGTTGTCCAAGTCGTGGTGGACAACGCGAGTAACAACAAGAGGGTGGCGGCCGACCTTGGTGAAGGATTCCCCATGGTATTCTTCACCAATTGTGCGGCGCATTGCCTAGACTGGATGCTCGGTGACCTTGGGGTGATAGGCGTGGTGCAGAAGGTCCTGCGGCAAGCGCACCAAGTAGTCATGCTCGTGGGCTAGCGCCACAGCCGTGACCCTCTTTCGAGAGGTCTTTAGCGAGTTGGAGCTAGTCCGTCCCGAGGCTACTCAGTTTGGCACACAAGTCCTTACGGTGGGCCGTTTCTTGGAGGTGAAAAAACAGTAAAAGAGCATGGTGATTAGCGAGGAGTGGGCACAATTGCCTGCAGCGAAAACGAAGAAGGGGAAGCGGATTAGAAGCCTTCTCCTAGACGAGGCTTTTTGAAGCTTGGTGGAGGCGGTGCAAAAGTTGTTGATGCCGATATATGAGGTGCTTTGGGCGGTGGACACCCGTTCTCACCTTATGGGGCGCACCTATGGGTTGATGCTCAACGCGACAATGAAGACCGACAAGGCCGCGGAGGCCGCAGATACTTGCCCATCCCCCCTCCGCCCATATTCCGTTGCGAACCTTATTTGTACGGTCGAGGACAATTCGCAGACCCTACCTTTCCGGTAGGCTTGAGCATACTACCCGCCCGGGTCGGGTACCCGTTACCCGGATCTGCTTTTAGGGCGGGTCGGGTATCGGGAATCCTGAAAATTACCCGGCGGGTCGGGTCCGAGTTACCCGGGCGGGTATTCGATACCCGTTACCCGAAACGTTACCCGACAAGTCAGGTAATGGGTACCCGGCCCGAAATCAAGTAGCGTGTCTTCCCGACGGAACCAGCACGACATTGGTCGCGCTGGTAGAGAAATTTCTTAGGTTACGTGAGCTGCTAGGTCACGTAGAGCATTGTAGAGTGGCAGGGGTTGGATTTCGTAGATCCAGATGCATTCAGAGCGGTTGAATTGGGGGAAATTGGTTGGAATTCAAACCAATCGAATTTCCCCCATCGATTTTGCAACCCAACCTGAATCCAGCCAACCGCACAGCACCACATTGGTTGGAGTTCCAACCAATTGACTCTGGGGGTCAAAATATCAACCCCCAAAAACCGCACACAACCCCATCCCAACTAGAAAACCCAACCACCTCCCCACTAACGCCCTACTCACCAGAACTGTAAAAGATCTGGTGCACCTCTTACTGCCTCCTGCGACTCACGTTTTTAGGTCGTAGGTCTAGCCAGCAGGGTAGGAAAACGCGGGTAATACTACCCGCTTATCAAGGAAACCGGGTCGAGTATACTTGGACCCGCCAGCCGAGTATAAAATTACCCGCCGCCAAATCCCAGGTCCGGGTATTGGTCCTGGGCATGTTACCCGACACGTACCCGACCCGAAAATACCCGACCCGAAGTCGGGTATAGCAAAACCGGGTCGGGTCGGGTAAATACCCCGTTTTGCTCATGCCTACTTTCTGGCCCTTACTAAACCCGCATCAAACCGTTGTTCTCTGTTTTTTTTTTCAGCCACATTCTTCATCAAGAGAACAGGGCTGCTCTTGGCCACGAACAAGGCATCATTCTTGACCAAGGTGCAAAGGATCATAGCAGCGCGTTGGGACGGCCAACTCCACAACCCGCTCCATACTGTGGGTTGGCTCCTCAACCGCCATCCGCTTTGCCGAGGAAGCGAGGACCGACTCGGAGATTGGTAAGGAGGTGAAAAGGGTGACGTAGGCGTGGCAGCCGAACATTCAGCGCCGCACACTCCTCCAAACCCAACTCGCCCACTACCATAGCGGGGAAGGGACGTTGGGCAGTTTGGAATAGACATGGGCACAAGCCAAGCCACACCTCGCTCGGCCCGGCTCGGCTCGGCTCACCTTTAAGGCGAGCCGAGCCTTTTTTTTTTGTGCCCGGCTCGAGTCGAGCCGAGCCGACTCGGCTCGGCTGGCGCACGCGAAACCAGGCGAGCCGGAGTCGAGCCGGCTCGAGATGGCTCGATTTCGAGCCAGCCAGCTTGCGGTTCGGGTAAGGGGGGGTTTTGCGACAGTCAAATTTCAAATCGATAAGCTCCCCCAAGCCCATTTCGTCAACCAACCCTAACCTAACCATGTCGCCCTAGTCTTTCGCCCTCAGCCAGAACCATTTAAACTTGCAGCACCTTGTGTTATTTTTTGAAAATGTAAGTGCTATTATAATTAGGGCCACAGTGGCCTTGGCGCGACAGCCCTAGGCGCGCCATCGAGGCCTTGGCTCGTGGTATGCGCACGCTAGGGTTTAGGCTTGGGCGTGCGTCCGTTTAGGCATAGTCCCGCGATGCTGAAGGTTGTAGGGCGCTCGGTAATGCTAGATTGGGGCGCGCGATTACATAAGTTAAGCGCACGCATTTGGGAAGGGCGGGGGGGGTGATCTTGCACATGGCAAAGACCAAGGCAACAGCGGCTAGGCAAGGGGGGCCGGGGAGGGATCGTGTAGCGGGCACAGGTGAGGCGGTGGGGGACCAGGGGGGTGTGAGTTCGCGGGCGAATGCGACCGATGGAGGTGGAGCCATGCCCCACATGCCTAAGGAGTGGACGAGTTTCCTCCTCTCTCGGCAGGGGATGGGATGAGGGGGAGGGGGTGGGAGGGCCCAGGGGGAGGGGAGGAGGGCCAAGCGCACACAAGCTCGCCGCAGCAGGGAGAGCGGTGGCGATGAGAGGGATGGGAGCGATTCGGAGGAGCGGGAGAGCGGAAAATCTAGCGCCAGCGAGTATGAGGAGGAGGAAGAGGAGGAGGGGGATGATGAGCACGAGATGGAGGGATTGGTGGAGGAGGGAAAGGAGGAGGGGGAGGGTCGGTCCAAGAAGGGAACGGGTGGGAGTAAGGGGGGGGGAGCGCCAGGGGGAAGAGGCAACGTCAGGAAGGGAGTGGGGTTGGGAGAAAGCAAGAGACAGGCGCAAGGGGGGGAGGGAGGGGCGAGGAGGAGGGGGAGGAGCGCGCTGCACCTGCCGTCGGGTTTCAGGGCAGGGGAGGGCGTGTGGATGGGGCTAAGGAGGTGGACCCAGGCGTTGAGCAGGAGGAGAGAGGGAAGAGACAGAAAAAGAACCGCAAGGTTGGGGCAAAGAGGAGCAACAAGCGTGTGGCAGAGTGTTTCTTGGGGAGCGAGAGGAAGCGAGTCTGCAAGATGTGCGAGCAGCTGATGGGCTTCAAGGACAGCCAGACCAGCACGGGTGCCAAGCATATGGTGAGACACCATCGCCCACGCTGGGACATATGGCAGCGGCGCGTGGTCGAGGGTCTGGAGCCAAGAGAGTCATTTCCAGTGGGGGGATACGCACATGTCCCTGATGGGAAGGCGCCCAACGAGTGGTCCAAGACTTGGCCGCACCCCCCCCCCGGCGCCACCATCCTGGACCTGTCCCCGGCAGCGGCGGACGCGAGGCAGCCCCAATGGACCGTTTCCTTGGCCCACGTGTGTCGGAGCCGCGTTTGCGTTAGGCGATCGTCGAGTTCATCGCCAGCACCGACAGCTCCTTTCGCATCGTAGAGGACCCCGCGGTAAGCGAGCCACCCCACCAGGCCCCCCCCACCCTTCCCTAAGCCTGTGGTCATTGTGTTACCCCCCTCCCCCCCCCCCCCTTTTAACCTACTGGATCTGCCCCACCAAAGAACCACCCGCCCCACCACCACCTCCTCCCCCCCCCGCATGGCGCTGAACACCCCCAAACCCCACGCCCCCCCTCTCGTTTCCTTTGGCAGTTCCGCCGCCTCTTGGCTGTGTGCAACCCCCAATGCGGTGACGCAATCCCGACCCGACCGGACCACCGTTTCCAGGGACCTCCGCTTCTACTCTGAGGCGGCACGGGACGTGCTTAAGTCAGAGTTTGGGGCGGGTCAGGGAGCGGGCGTGTCTCTTTCACAACGGACATACGGATCGGGGGTAACAGGCGGGGGTACATGACAGTGACGGCGCACTTCATTAGTAGGGACTTTCAGCTGCGCCAGTGTACACTGGAGTTTATGGAGCTGGAAGCGCACCACACAGGGCGGCTGATTGCAGACGTGTTCGCGCGGGTCGTCAGGGAGTGGGAGCTCGTGGGGTTTAGCATGGGGGTGACGACGAATAACGCCAGCAGCAACACAGCCGCCATGCGTCGCCTCGCCGGTCTTGGTCGTCATGCGTTGGCCACGCCTCTCCTTGCAGATGGCATGCATTTCCGGTGAGTGCGTGGCGCGCTTGCGGCCCTTGTCTTGTCCACCTTGTGTGCTGCTATTCAGACGATCCACGCCTCCCCTCTCAATGGCATGGAGGGTCCTTAAGGATTTCCCTCCCCCCTCTCCCCCCCCGTGTGCGCCTTCGTACATGCAGGCCTGACGCACATCCTGAACCTTGCAGTCCAGCGTGCGCTGAAGCTGCCATCGGTGAGGGTGCTGCTGAAGCTCCTACGCGACATTGCCACCTTTGTGGGATGGAGTGAGAGGCGCACGCGCGAATTCGAAGCGCAGTAGCGGTCTGATCCCGTCCTCAAAGGGACGGTCCTCCGCCTGATGCAGGACAGAGAGGTTCGCTGGGGCAACACGCACGAGATGGTCGCGCGTGCATTGAGGCTCCGCCGATCCCTCACTGCGCACTTCGCAGTGGAGCAGGTACCCTCTTTACAAAAGCGCACTCCACCGCTTCCATTGCGTGCGTGGGTGATCCTGCGCACCCCTTGTGTGACATTTCTTTCCATGCCGTCACACCCATTGTCTCCCCACAACCCCCCCCCCCATGGACCCCTGCTCACTTCCCAGGGAGAGACGGCCGAAGAGCGCACGAAGTACGTCGCGTTGCGCCTGACCGACGTGCACTGGGACACGCTAGATGTCCTGGCGGAGTTCCTGGCGCTGTTCAGTTCCATCACGGTGGCGGCCGAGGGCTCTTCCTACCCCACATCATCTGCTGTTGTGCCACAGTTCAACGAACTGATGGACACGTTGCAGGCATGGCCGTCACCCCGCCTCATCGGCCGTCAGCTTGTTGGCGTCGCCTTCCCCGTGCTGGAACGCTACTATTGCAGTAGCAGCGATGAGCTCGTGGTGGCGACGTTACTGAACCC